TATCGGCCTGGAGGGTTCGCGAGTTATTTCACGCTTTGCGACGTGCTTCGCGTTTAACTCGTTCGCGCGATTGCATGCGTGCGGTTTCGCGTAAAACGTGGAAGAAGCGAGATCGGTTTTTATCCAGTTTGTTTCGAATTCATGCCACGTGCTTGAAACAATAGAACGGCGCATCCGTAATGACTTAAAACACTAAGGGATTGTCAGTGAATTGTCACAACATGCGAAAATTTGCATCTCATTTTGGAGTATTTTGAATAAGAAAGACGCACTCGATTCTTCTTTTTTTCGGCGTAGTTCCTTAGCTCGATGTTACGCCTTCGCGAAATCGCATTTTTTTTTCCCGATTATTGCTTGCACCGGACAAGTGGTCTTTCGAAAGAGTCTAGGCAAACAAGCGGAATGAGTGCGTCGGCGGCGATATTATGAAAGATCAGTTCTTGATTTGGTTTACCAATAATAAAGTTACCGTGGGAAGGGGCGGGGGCCACTGGGCAAGGAGGTGTAATTAGACCCCGTTTCTTAGCTACCCGAAATTAGAACCAAACGTCAGCGAAGAATTTTATTTTGTTAGTTTTCCCCCGGGTCATTTGCGATAATGCTGTCGGCGATTTGAGCCGAGCGCAAGCGCGAGCTCGCTATCGATTTTACCATCTCAATACGGAGAAGTCCCCACGGACCTTGCCAATTAGAGCTGTATTCGTCTTTCCGCCCCAAGTGCCAAAATAATGTAAATCTAATAATGCTAATTCATTGGCGGGGAGTTTGTGTTTATCCGGCGGATGTCTGGGGGCTGATTCGCACCTCGCTATTACAGTTCATCATTTTCCGCTCCAGTCCGAGTTTTATTCTTTTTCAGGGGTTGGAAATGATACCAAATTGGTGCCAGAGGCGAGAAAAGAGCGAAAATGGAAAATTTACCATCAAATCTACTTTCCCAAGAGCAAAACAACCTGTTGATTGTGAAACAACCTGCCTCGGAGGCCTCAAAATGGTCGCTTTGGAGACGTGCGCTTGTAGCCAATCAGAAGCAAGCGTTGATCTGTACGCGGTATATTCTCAGACAGGTGTCATTGGCGTCCGAAGCGATAGGGTTGATTTATTAAACAGACAGGTGACACGGAGAGGTCACTGCACGACCCACGTGCTTAGAGACCGCCAGCTGGCTGCCAATCATCCTTCGACTGTTCTTTCGAGAGCGAGAGGGAGAGAAAAAAAATAAAACCATTAAAAAGCTTCATTCTTGCCGACTGAAGCCGTTGCCGCGGTTTCGGGCGGGCGGCGCAAGACGCCGCATTTTCCCGCTCAAATTTTTTTTGAGCCCCGCGAGGGTTGTTGCTTATTAGACCGAAACGTAGCACCGCAGTCCTGCCGGTTTGTTAATGGGTTTTCTTTTCTCTCTTTTTCAAAACCGTCGCTATACTTATGCCGGTGTTTGTATTATATTTGACCGGATTATGCAAGCGGAGTCTAGTGACCGCGAACGGCCGTCTCTGATTGGCTGTTGCCACCTGAACCAGATGTTTAGTGGCAATTTTACGCCGGTAAGATCTCATAGGAACGACTCGGCGAACACAGCCCGCCATATTTGACAGTGAGATGATAAGTAACTCTCTCTCGAAGACGAACAACACGAAGCCCGTCCTATATTGGGTTAGGTGCTCTATAGGTACATTATCTAGCGAAAACGATTCGCGAGAAAAAACCCTGGTTTCGTTCGTTTTCTCTGTCACAACGGTGTTTTTGAAAATCTTGTTTGTACCACCGGGTAGAAAATTTTTATCACCTTAGCTGTGACGTTTTTGAACGCAAACTTCGTTATTGGAAGATTGTATATTGAATCATTTGACTGGAAGGATTACAAAAGTTATTTCTAAGCAACTGTCGACGTTGATTTTGTACTTAGCAGTCGCACATTGAACTTATATGATAAGCTTTTCCGTAGTTCACGGCATACGTGCTAGAAAAGTTAGGAAATCATAAACTTCTTCCGTTATACGTGACATGAAAATTAACGAGTTTTTATTAACTGTTATTAATAATAATCATGAATATTCTTGATCGCACAGTGATTTAGAGAATTTTGAATATTACGAGCTGTCTTTAATATTTTGGCTGCGTTTCTGGCCAAAAATAACCTCCTAGCAGAGTCGCTTCGGTCTTTCCTAGAAGGGTAGACGAAAAATTGATCATTCTTACAGTGTAATTTTCATGTCAAGCATAGATACGGTAACTGTAGTCGCAAATCATTTTCGATGTACTCTCGCATTATTATGGTCTTGTTTATATTTTTCGTTTGAGCCCGTATTTTGATTCGCTTGGATTAAAATCTTTATTTGTTAACTTTATAACGGATCTGAAGGAAATTGTTCAAGCAATGTAGACGTAAATATATATTGGTTGAGATGTCTTTTTCAATTTAGACTTTGAGATCAGCTACAATTGAAAACGGGTGATTCAGCTGGTAGGCCCGATTTTCCCTCAACCAGTTCATATTTATGGTGGTATATAGAAAACGTTCTGTTTTTAAAATATCTAAATTAGGCAAAGCTGTTTTGCCAACCTACAAGAGTAAAACCACCCGTTTATGCAAATATATCTTGTTTACGACAAGCGAAATAAGTGACTCGTTCTAATTTTGTGCTTTCCCGTGATTCACACCTCTTATGATGAAATCGCAAAATGTCGGAAAATATGGGGTTGTTTGGGGGGGTAAGGTAAGACATTTGCAGGATTAAGAATTATTGTTTTCCAATTTGAAGAATTCTGGATTAGAAAATCTTCGTATATTAACATTGATAACAAGCACTAATAAATTGTAGAAATTTCTTCAAGACAGCGCGCAGTAATAAGAAAATTTATTAGAGCTATTCTTAGCAATTTTACGACTTGCGTTTCGCGTTTTATGTTGCTCAATAACTTTACGCAATCTTTAATTATTTTGCAATAATATTTCGGCCAGTTCTAGAACTCGTCACAAACAGTAGCAATTACCCCTTACTGATTGTATTTATTGCGCAAACTTACACATTTTCTCTAATAGACACGAACGCAGTATTTGACAGATTTTAATTTTAGGTTTTGCGCGCCCGTGGAACATTAAACGAATCGAATACACTTTGCAAAGCGAAGCGGGTGAACCCAAGTCCGTACTTAAAGAGAATTAAAAGACGTAATAAAGAACTGTAGTGTTTACGACGGAGAATTTTGGTTAATCTTTTCGGTTTTCCGGGTGAGCGGAAAGTCATAAGTCCTGTCGTGATCGTAATAAAACTCAACTTTGGTAAACAATTTGACATTTTCGTCTTTCTTTGCAAATAAATATTTCCTTTAATGTTCATAAAAGATATTAACCACTCATCGCGCAGTCGAAGCGAGATTTGTTAGTTGAATTTAAAATACAGGTGATTTTCATTAGATCCGCAGAGAAGACGCCCATTTAATTGGACGTACGTGCCCGGTTTCGATTTCGATTCTTCACCCGCTGTTGATTTTGGTCGTAAACACACTGGGTATTTTTTAAACACAAACGAAGCGAAGACGCTATTAACACGATTCGGCGATCTCGCTGTCACCGCTCTAACCAGGTCAAGGAGTGCTATTGATTCACTAAACTCGCCGCTGTGATTTTGCCAACTTGACCAATTTGCTATCACTTACTACATGTATTCACAAAACGTCGGTTTTGATTCGATTTCTAATTCGCTTTCAAGCTACTAGAATATAAATACGGAGCCTTTCAAATTTATATTTTTTTACCCAACCTACTTTTCCCCCGCTTCGAATGAAAAACAATCTTGTGTTTAATAATACCGGTTGTGTAAATTATTTTGTACTGACGCAAATTTCCTTCATACTAACTCACTGAACTCGCAATCCAGGGGATTTTATAGGATTTTTTCAGTACTGTACACTTTCATTACGCATACATTTTTGTAGAGTCGAACCTCTTTTAAGATCGAGCTAACGTTGTGTGATCGCCTACAAGATTTGGTCGCGGGCCGTTCGAAATTAAGGCTTGATCGAAGTTGTCAAGATGTGTCAAAGCTGTTTGTTCCCTCCGACCTGATATTCTTAGCTGAAGTTCATGTCAGGATATTAAAACAAAGTTATAAATTGCGAGAGAGAAAGTGTAAAAAAGAATAGCTGTAACATTTATTATTATCACGTCTTCGAAGTTTTGCATAAAAGACAACAAGTTTAAAGGAGCTCTGTCGCGATAAGACACTTTATAAATACATTTTTTTGCGATGTGCTAAATAACTTTCCAATCGAAGGAAACCTCAAAATGATAGTTTACTAACGTTGATAAACATTGAAGAGGTAATAAGAAATTAAAAGAACAAGGATGGGTAAGATTGGGGAAGATTGAGACGGGTTACGAATGCCGAACTTGAACTTTGGAAAATTTTGTCTCGCAAACGCGAGCGAGAAGTGACGAACGACAAGAGGAATTCGCAGACTACACTACGGTTACCCACACCGTCGGAGCTTATCCCATGAACAGGAGTATTGCTATAGTACATAAGCAGGTTACCCCCCCCACCCACAGCATTTTATCAGGTTGGCCTAACTGGTACCCATTGATACTCCTGGGTGGAGAGTGGCACTGTGAGAGTAAAGTGTCTTGCTCAAGAACATATCACAGTGACCCCCATCAGCGCCCCGGACCTCTCGGTCTTGAGTCCAATGCGAGCCTCGCGTCTTCAAGGTTGCCAGGATGGCTAATGATGGTGACGATGGAAATACTATCCTCCTAATGTGTTCATGTCATCTGTCAAGTTGGTAGGTAAAGCCGCTCACGGCCAAACTGGCTTACACTGCCGGAGCTTATCCCGGTTTCTGTAGCATGAAACCGACTAGGAGTATTGCCACTCCCCCTGGATGGGATGCTAGTCCATCGCAGGTTACCCCCAGCATTTTGGTGCCGGTACCCATTGATACACCTCAGTGGAGAGGCACTGTGAGAGTTAAATGTCTTGCCCAAGAACACAACACTACGAACCCAGCCAGTGCTCGAACCAGGACCGCTCGATCCGGAGTCCAACGCGCTAACCATTAGGCCGCCGCGTCTCCCCATTTGTCGAGTACTGTTTTATAAAATCAAGAATTGAGCCATTATTGTTCGGTTTCCAGTGATCTAGGTATGTTTTTGAGCTTCCCAAATCCTGGTAAACAAATGACAGTGCAGCCCCTTTAATTATTTTCAACATCGTGTCCGCATAAAAGTTAAGGAGGCACAATCGGTATCTCGCAACGCCGAACAACTACGTAGAGTAAACAAGGCGACATTCACGGTTTGTTTAAACAATATCTGTCATATAATGCACGAAAGCTTGTATTGATATCAATGACCATTTTCGTTTTCATATAAGAGTGTTGAACGTGCGAAGAATTCCAAACTCGCCAGCGATAAGAAACTTCAAGTGCTATACATGAAAGGTGTAAGAAAAATCACTAACATGATAAAACTGAAAAGAAATGGGAACAAGAATACATGTTCTTTTTAAGAACATTATTGTTTTTACTGGTCAGGGGTTGAACCCGCCGGTGTGAAAATTTTGTGTAATTAATAGTTTACCTTGGTCAAAGTTGTTTCCATTGACAAAACATTGTATTTTACACGAAAAAAAACCCGCTACAATAAGTTACGATTTAATACATGTTATTTTACATGACAATCCTTTCTATATATTTTTTAATTCACAGACTAGACCACACCTGTTTTGCCAGTTCGGTTACTTTAGTAGCCGGAGCCCAAATTAAACTAGCGCTGGTTTTCGTAAATCCTCGTAAAAACAACCGAAACTTTTCCGACGCTTATTAACCAATCAGAAAAATTACACGAGCACTCACGAGCACCCAGTTCTGACGTCACACCTTTTCGTGTTACTTAGTAACCTCTCTGACCAAAACCAGTGGCGCAGTCAGTGAATTTTCGGGGATGGGATTTCGACCGAAACAATTTCTTCAGTTGTTTCAGTAGGAAAGCGAACTCTCGAGCCAGCAGCTTCTGTATCCTCGCTTCGTTTAGTCAATAAGGGACGGAGTACGGTATTTGCATTTTTAAATTGAAGGAGAATCACTGCTATCGAGTCTAGTGGCTCATATTATGTCGGCGCTAAACTCCGATAGCATGAAGCGACTAGGAACTTGACTACTCTCCCTGGATTGGATGCTTGTCCATCACAGGTTCACCCCCATCATATTTATCAGCTTTCTTGAACTTTTTCTCGGTGCATTTGCATGGGTAGAGAGATCCACTATGAGAATAAAGTGTCTTGCTCAACACAACCCGAGGAGCGCCTCGCGCTAAAAAAATATGTAAAAAGATAATAATAATTGAAACTTCATTTTAAGGCGGGGGTCCACCTGAATGCCATTTTTCCGCCACTTAACATGGGTTTAATGGAAATATCTCGTTCACGTTTCAAGCAATCCAAAAACTCTATGCTCAAAACATGGGGTGTTAACAGACAGTTGGTACCCACGCAAGAACACCCGCGTAGGTATCAACTGTCTGTTGGTGTTCCAAAAATTATTTTCTTTCTTCTATTCCTTCTTTAAACCTCTTAAAATTTCAGTGAAATTCACGTTTACCCCCGCCTCAATTGCTGTCTAATGTGCTTTCTTCTCTAAAATTCATTCACTTGTACTTAACGCCCCATTTACACGTGCAGAGTCCTTCAATTCCTTTTAAGAGCTGCAAAACAGCCGCTTTTTGCCACACGCAAAGTAAAAATGCCTCGGCTGTTCATTTTCTCAGGTAGAAAGTTTACCTGCACGTTTAATTTGTATTTACGTCGTTCTAAACAACGGTAAACTTATATTGAAGACAACCTGCAGTCCATTGTTCATATTCCTGAAAGGTTCGCTAATGAGGCCATTAAAAACTTACCCGTAATTTAATTTGAGTTTATATTGCTCCCCGTTTCTCCGATACAATTTTGAATTTTGTTTAGAAAAACCCCTCAAGATTTGCAACAGGCGCTAGAAATTTCATAACTGGCTTTGTTTAGCTCGGGAAATGCCGTCACTGAACCACTTCAAAAGTTTGTTCTCGGCTAAAACTCTACTCGACGATTTGACTAATCAGTGTCAAAGGCTTGTTATACCTGTTTTTAAAAGTGCACCTGTGTCCTTTTGAATGTCCCGCAACAACGGAATGTCAGAATTAGACTTTCCGTAAAAGCTCTTTCCAATATTATTTAGCCCTTCGCGCGTCGCTCGGTTTCGCTCAAAGAAGACGACTTGTGGCAAGTCTATGTCAGAATAGGCTATAACTAAAACAGTTTAGCTCTGTAGAAACTATAATTATTTCACAAGTTTGTTATGAGTTAACTCAGCTCGAAAATTTGACAAATTGCTCACGCCCTTTACAAAAGAGTCTTTTATTTTTTAACTTAATCAAAACAAATGTTTCAAAACCACTTACAACAGCGTATAACCCGTGTAATTTTCATTTTTTTAACTTTGCACATTCAACCGTAAAACGATTTCCGGAACGTAACAATAAGAGGCGAATTGCTGTAGTCTGAAGAAAGCTCAAGGACTACTTGAACTACATGTATACCTCGGCGTTCCACAAAATTCCCCGTATCTCTCCCACGCAAATCATTCTTGCATGAGAGAGCTGCTAAAGGTTGGCAGCTGGCTACTGAACTCTTTTTCCGGTAGCTCAGCAATTCTTCCCACGCGTCTGCAATGAACTCCTTGAGTTGTCCACCTGTGTTCTTCTTGCTATCGAGTCTTTCCGCACGCATGGTCTTCACTAGCATGTTTCGTATCTCAGAAACAGCCGGTCCCCACGCAATTTTACTCTTCCTACCGGTAGCTTGTTCAGAGCTTTGGTACCTGTATACCAATTTTCCATGTGCAATTTGGCGCCTTCTTTTTTTCATTTGGAACTCAATCTAAGCGATTTTTTCATGGATGCGTATGATCTATCTCTTCAGTATCTCGCTCTCTCGTATGAGCTCCAATTCTCGTGCGCTCTCACCGACTCTCCTGCGCTAATGATTTTGAACCTGTCTAAATTTCCCTGAGAGTCAACGCGTATTTACGCTCGTCTGACAGGCAGCACGCTGATAATAGTCGATGAGAGTTGAAGAAAACTCTCGTTCTTGTAATTACATTACATTATACCTAAACTCTTGTCGACTCTTGTCACGTTATTTTAATTCATTTTTGCTATGCGCAAAATCACCTTGAAATAGAAGAAAGCCTCAAAATAATAGTTTACTAAAGTAGAAAAACACCAAAAAGGTATGATAAACCAAAAAGGAACAAGGATGGTCGAGGATGAAGAAGATTAAGACGGATTACGAACGAAGAACGTGAACATTTTCAAGATGCACACGCCGTGACCGTTTGCTACTTTACTACGAAGATCTCTTTCTCTAATGACATCTTTGTGCTGGTTTTCCAGGCACCTTCTCAGCCAATCACAACGTCGACAATCGCACGTGCAGTTTATAGGCCTCAAGAACTTTATCAGAAATAGTGCCACCCTTTTATTATGTTTTGGTCATCTTGCGTGTTTTTCCCTCAAGGAAAGCACAGTTTATAATAAGAAAGCTTTCTCATCTCAGTCAACCCGTAAAGCTCTCGCAAAAACATGTGTTATGAATACAAAATCAAATAAACACTTACTGCTAATGGAATTTCGATGAACGGACAGGTGCAATTAAAGTAGACTTTTTCTCTAAACAATCATAGCAACTGGTTGGTCACTTAAGGCGGGACTTAACCTAAATTTCAATGAAATTTTAAGAGATTTAAAGAAGAGATAGAAGAAAGAAAATAATTTTTGGAACACCAACAGACAGTTGATACCCACGCGGGTGCTCTTGCGTGGTTATCAACTGTCGTCAATTGTCAATCTACTAATTTTTAACTTCAAATTCTAATTTTAAAACTACATCAAATCTTCAATATTTCTTATTTCCCTAAATTTTACAACTCCTTTGAGAAAAACTATATCCTCCCAAATATACCCAAAAATCACCAAAAAATTTACAAAACACTCCATAGCATAGATTCATGGGATGAGCATAGAGTTTTTGGATTGCTTGAAACGTGAACGAGATATTTCCATTTAACCCATGTTATGTCGCGGAAAAATGGCATTTAGGTTAAGTCCCGCCTTAAGTTTATGTGCAGACTGTTAACAGCCTGCTTGTTGTTCTCGGGCTATTTTCTGGTTCAAGAATCTAGAGAAATAATTTCGTTGTGGTGCAGTTTTAAGCTAACTAACGCCCCATTGGAAATCTGTCACGCTCTCTTTAATAAGCCCCTGTCAAACGGTCTCAACTCCTCTCAACATTATTCTCAGTCCCAGACCTCACGCATCACACTTGATTGGTCTGAACAATCTCAACATGACTCAACAAATGTTGAAACTGTTTGACAGGGGCTTTACGATAATCAGCGCTAAAACAGGAATTCATATAAACTAGACTTTGATAATGGTGATTCAAGGACCAAGAACTTTTTAAATTCAAAATCCGTCAAATGCTGATGCTGACTCGCCCCTAGTTCGTCTCTTTAATATGAAAAAAATCCAAGGGCCGGGATGAGTCAGCTGCTGGTGTCGTTTCTCGGTCAGCGGGGTTGCTACTACAGCCTAGCCGTAGTACCCAGGCGTTCCCTTCCCGCTTATTCGATTTGGCGCGAAAGTCCTTCGGTATACTTCGCGCTCGCTCGAAAGAGAACGCCTTGGCCTACTAGGGACTACGACTGCTGAAACTAGATACAACTCAGAATCTTCTTGGAAATTTTTTTAAAAATGTGTTTCTTAAAATGAACTGTATTCTTTGGTTTCTATCCATTATGGTTTAGTGTCGACATATTAATCCAATATTAAATCCGAAAGTTCTGATGTTTTTCCAAAAAATTTATAAATATAGATCAGCTGGGCCCGGTTATTCCAAGGGCGAACAAGCTAATCCAGGACTAGCGTGAATATTGATTTCAGTTTAGTAACTTTTCAGTGCGGTTTTCTGTAAGGTCTTTTCTCCATTATCTAGCATCATAGGCACGCAATGCGTACAAAGTGTGCCTTTTTGCCAGAT